GTGTGTGCCCCACCCCCGGGGGGGGGGGGGGGGGGTGATTTCTCATTATCCCTCTCTCTCCAGTGAGCATGTGTGCTCTATAACAAAATTACTACTAATAATAATAATAAAAACAATACTCTGAGGGCTCACACCTCGAGCTGTCACCTTCTATTAGTACTTTGGCAAGCTAAGTTACCACAGTCACTCAAAGAAGTAATGTGACAAGGATCCAAAGTAAGAAGGTGGGCAGAGGAGAGAAGGTAAGGTAGAACATGGTAGAAAATGAGGTTCCTGGAGCTGGCAAGTGGCATGGTGGTTAAGGGTGCTCCCACATGGCTGACAGCTGTTCGAGTCTCAAACCTGGCAGCTTGCTTTCTCACTTTCCCTCTTCTGTCTCTTTCTGGTCAAATTGAAAATGATAATGATAAATAAAGTTAATAAAATAATTTTAAAAAAAGAAATTGAGGTTCCTAACATAAATATGGGAGTGAAATAAAGAAAAATACTTTTTACTGATTGATGTGTCCAGGGCTTACCAAAGATCTAAGAAATATGACCTGGGCTGTGTTACTGAGGTTGACATTAAATTGACTTTAGAAATGCACCACACTACCATAAACCATGCAGTAAAGGCCTCATGTTGTGATATAAGATGAATTGTACATTTTATTCAATTTGGGGAATGAAATAGTGCCACAGTGTGGTGCCTGCACAGACTTTTCTAAGTGTGTGAGGAGTTCCTCATTTCCAGCAGGGAAGATGTCATTGGGAAGATAGATTCATGGGGAAAATGGAGGCAGAAAACAAAATGAAAGTTGTTCTAGAACCTTTCCCCTTTTCCCTTCCCACTCTCCTTCCTTTGGCCACTAGAGAAAGAGACTAAGCAGTGTGAATGACAGTGTTCTTGGATAAATGAAATAATTAAAAATGCCATGAGCAATCTGGTCTTGAAAACACCTACATACTTGGGACCAGCAGATGACATATGGTTACATCGCTGAATTCTCACAGAGTCGATGGCAGTTGAGTCCTGGACCCAGTGGCTTACACTCATGCCAGGTGCATGTGTGTGCCTGCCCAAAATCCCAAGAGGAGAATGGAGAAAGGCCTGGGGCATGGTCATCCCCCGGTGGGTGATTTCTCTCTTTCTATCTGTCTGTCTTTCTGGCAAGTACATGTAGCCTACAACAAAAATCTCTCTCAAAAACAAACAAACAAAAATCTTAGGTTCTGCAGTTGGCATAATGGCTATGTCACTGGACTCCCATGTAGTCAACAGCAGTTCGAGTCCTGGACCTGGTAGCTTAAACTCACACCAGGAGCATTGTGTGCATGCCCAAGGTTCTGAGAGGAGAATGGAGAAGAAGGGATTACTGTGTGGCCATCCCCCCTGGGGGGTGATTTCTTGCTTTCTATTTCTCTGTCTCTCTCTCTTTCTGGCGAGCTTACACATCTTATAGCAAAAACCTCTCCCAAATCCCCCCAAAACAAACAAAAACAAAAACAAGCACCTACATACATACTCTATGCACACTAACAAATAAAGAAAAAGCAAAAAGTAGATGTGGTTGTCAGGTCACAGGTTAAGGAAGGGCATCTGTTGGACCTTAAAAATGGCCTATTCCAGGATAGGAAGCTGAAGTCTGCTTTAAATCAAGGAAAGAAACTGTTTTATCTTTCTATATTTTGATACCTTAGCATCGTACCTGGCACATAGTATTTAGTTACTCAGCAAATGTCTCATGTATACCCAAATAAAGACCTATATTAGTTTCCTAGGGCTGCTACACTAAAGTAAGACAAACTAGGTGGTTTAAGACAAAAAAATGTATTCACTATCAGGTCTAGAGGCCGGAAATCCAAAATCAGTTGCGGGCAGGTTCAGGCTCCCTCCAAAGCTTCTAGGGCAGGATTCTTCCTTGCCTCTTTCAGCTGGTAGCTCCAGGCGGTCTTTAGCTTGTGGCAGCATCATTCCAATCTCTACCTTCATCTTCACATGACCATCTTCCTTCTATGTGACTCTGTGTTTCCACATGCTTCTCTTGTCTCTATATCTCTTTCTGTTTCTTCTATTCTTAGCAGGGCTGCAGCCGTATTTGGATTAGGGCACACCCCAATGACCTCACCTTAAATTGATTACATGTGCCAAATTCTGATTTCTAAATAAGATCACATTCACAACTACTGGGGGGTTAGGACTTCAACATCGGATTTTTTGGTTTGCTATAGGGCATGTGCATTTGCTGGAGAGAGGGAGGGAGAGAGAGAGAGAGAGAGAGATAAAAGGAGATGGAGATAAAGGGAAAAAGCATAAAGCATCCCTGGGGAGATGGCCACACTGCAATTCGTTCTCCTCCATTGTTCTCTCAGGAATTTCTGGGCATGTATGCACATGTGCCTGGTGTGTTTTTCAAGCCACTGGGTCCAAGACTCAAATTATGCAGTTGGCCATGTGGGAACCAGCTGCCTTAGCCACCACACCAGTGGCTGGCCCTCCACAA